GATAAAGTTGTGGGCAGAGAGAGACTGCCAAACATCGGGGACAAGAGCAGCCTAGCCTACCTGGAGGCCTTCATCTACGAGACCATGCGCTTCACCAGCTTCGTTCCTTTGACAATCCCCCACTCCACCACTGCAGATGTCACAATTGACGACCTCCACATCCCCAAGGACACTGTGGTGTTTGTGAACCAGTGGTCTGTGAATCACGACGAACAGAAGTGGAAGGATCCTCACGTCTTCAACCCATCCCGTTTCCTGGACGAGAACGGAGCTGTCGACAGGGACCTGACCACCAGCGTGATGATCTTCTCCATTGGGAAGAGGAGATGCATCGGTGACCAAATCGCAAAAGTGCAGATTTTTCTGTTCACAGCCATCCTCCTTCACCAGTGCACCTTCGAGAGCAACCCTTCACAGGCAGTCACCATGGATTGTTCTTACGGCTTAACAATGAAGCCTCTCCACTTTACTTTATCTGCCAAATGCAGGGGGAAATGTTTAAGTTTAGACACTCAAGCATGAGGAATTTAGTACTTGTCAACACTGGTCCTTGGGATCTATGTTTGAATCAGACTTGAGGAAGCCAATAACATTCAAGTGAGTATTGCAATTGTTAAAAGATTCAGAAATATTTATGAAATATAAAATATGTCTTGTTTAGTGTGTCCTGAAAAATAACAGTGACCAGTAAGATTACATCAAAGATGTTGGCATTTTTAAACCCATAAAATAGATAATGCCATAAAATGTTTGAATTTTTTCAGTATTCTTCATATTTTGTTGGAAGAAGAAAAGCCTAACTTAGATATGAAGTATAAACGAACTACACTGTCAGAATTAATTCAAATCAATATTTGCTTTTTTACCATTCTTTAGCAATTACAAATAACATTCATATATTACTGTTTGTATACCTTTGGATAAAAAAAGAGGTTAAGCACTCTTTTTGCAAAAAAAAATCCCTTTATTATGTTAGCCAGCAATTCATGAGCAATGTTAATGGTGATGAAAAAGAAAAGATCTCAGATCTCTTTGTGGACTATGGTAATTATGCTGTAAAAGAAATGTGGTTGATGAAAAAGTAAAGCTTGTTGTGGTTTATTCAGACCACAATTTTAAAAAGACATTGAAAGGGCACAATAGAAGTATATTATTTGGCTACTCAAAGCTAGCATCTACATAGGCACTGTTAAGAAGTGCAACGTTTTGGCCGTGGAGCCTTCTTCAGGTGTGAGAACACCTGAAGAAGGCTCCATGGCCGAAACTGTGTTTTCTTTCTTCTTTTTTTCAGCATGGAAAAAACCTATTACTTGTTCCTTTGCAGCCTACGCATGTTGACGCAGCTACCCACCTGAACTGTTAGGAAGTGTACCATTTGAAATATGCTGTTGATTTTGTGACATGGGTAATTTACTCATTTCAAGTAAGCTCCATCCATGGTGAACCACACCAAAGCTAATGTCATGAAATGTTTTCATTCCAGTCCATTGATTCGCAGCTCATCTACTCTCTATTTTCTTTATCTGTCAACACACTTGGCAGGCAGATATTCAAACATTTGAGAAACATATTTGTTTTTACCACATCTCATTAACACCATCATTAGTGCAAAGCAAAATACCACAAGGCCTTGTGGTTTTTTCCTACAATTTGAAAAATAGGAAAGGTAAAAGTAGTAAAAAAAGGTTTCTCAAAGAATTTCTAATGCAGAGACAAAGTTACAGTAAAACAGGGTACAGGAATTAGTTTTCTTCATGTGTACTTTATTAATTAGAAAGGGATACGAAGGATTATTTTAAAAACCAAACTCTTCCAACATGTGCACACAGTTAACTGCTTTAGGTCATGATAAAATGACTTCTGGGTCACCATGTGCTCGGTGGTCACCCGTTCATGACCCCTGTCCTTACTAAATATAAATTCATGTAGAAATAAAAGATCAAAAGTAAATGTGCACTGAAATGAGAAAAAGTAAAATTAAAACGTAAATTCAACAGAAAACCTTAAAAGACATATTTGTGAAAAAATAAAAATAGAAAAAAGTAAACTGTAAAACCCCTTAAAAAGTTTTAGTCAAAAAATACCACACGTCACCTTTACACCTACCTTTCAGTTAAAAAAAAATAACACTTTTTCCCAGCATTTCTAAAATTCTTACAATAATTATCATACATCTAGATGACATCTAGACATCTAGAGACTTGTGTCTTGCTAAAACTGAGACTTCTTACACTCATAGTAACTCATTTATTTTAGAATTGCGGTTCTTAATAAAATATATCAGACATGAATCTTTTTCTTATATTTGGTTTAACACAATAAATCATTTTGAATTGAGCTAAAATCAGTAAAAGCACAGTGCAACTTCCAAAAAGCACAAACCGTTATCAAACACAATGCAGAATCTTACTGTGTTCACCTTTTTTGAAAATAAGATTTAAATGTAAGATAAGTTCAAGTTGCTTGTATTTAAGGCTATTTTGTTACTGAGAAATTAATGTGTTTTAGCCATTAAGAATTGAAGCTATCAGACAAGATGCAAAGCAGTCTATATACTGTATGTAGGTCACTGGCCAGATTTATGATACAGGCGTACAAATAGAACTTAAGCCGTAGTGTATAGTCTTGCGATATACATAAACTTTTAGCAATTCAAAAATGCAAGTCAGTTTTTTTTTTACATTTTGTTCACATTTTCATCTTTTCTAAATCATTCCTTATAAACATGAAATCAATTACTTTTGGAAGTTCTAGCAACAAAAACATTTTCACAAAGGTAAGGAATGTCCAAACAACTCTCTTGTAAAAAATGTGATGATAAAAATAATTAAAGACAAATTGAATATTAATATAATATGTGGGTATATTTGTTCTTTACTGGAAGAATCATAGAAACCAATTATGAATGAAAAAAATCACAGCTGGTACAAGTCTGTCACTAGTAAATGACAATCAGCATTTTAGAATAGAATCCTTGTCATGTTCTGTAATAGATTGCTGCAATGCATATAATTGATTTCAATTTTTAATGGGCCCCTGTAATGTACGGTTATAAGAATGTTTTATTTCTTGATTAATAAGTATAAACTATGATAATCAAGGTCCTATATGCATTACACATTATTTTTAATGCATATTAATTTTCATTTTGTCAACCTTTATGTTTTGCATGTTATTTTATGATTCAATACCAGAAAACCAATAAAGTCTTCATTGAAAAAATGATGCATTGTCTATTGTTCTTCACTCAGAAAAAAAAACATTCAAAATAAATACAGAAATAAATAAACCTGAGGTCTGGGAAGCTTCACGACACAAAAGTTAATCTGAAAAGGTCATTTCTAGTTACAATATAAGAAGATAACAAAAGTCTGCAACAGAGAGGGGGTCATTCCCTTCTTGCTTATTTGGTAGTTTAATAGCTGAGTGAATCTAAAAATTCATCCAGCTGTTTCTGAAATGTGCCCCGAGTTTGGCCCTCCTGGCCGGAATTTGGCTGGAACGCCTGTTCCAGAAACCCACAGATCTCTGAGCAAAGAAATGTTTCATATTCTCTGTTCTGAATGTATTCCCCTTAATCTTTCAGTTGTGATCACCATGCTCTTGTTTCAATACTGAGTGTGAAAAAGTCCCCTTAGTTAAACCTAGCTATAACCCTTAACCCTATAATGATTTTTATACCTAGATCAAATTTGATCTGTTTTAGATTAAAGAGATTTACTGTAGTTCCCTCAATCTGTCTAAATATATGACACTCCCCTGACACTAGGATTAATTTTGTTGTACTTCTTTGCACTCTTTCTAAGGCTATATCTTTTTTGAGGTATAGTGACCAAAACTGAAATGATCTCCAGACTTGTCTTATTAGTGCATAACTTCCCAAAGATTTAACTTCCCAGGATTTAAATTCCACACTTTGTGCTCTCCACCTTTCTCTACAATACACTCCATTTCAAACTTTAATTTTATGCACAGCATTTTGGAAGGCAAAATTCTCTTCTTCATGAAAGTTTGTAACCCTCAGAATTGTGGATGTCCTCAAATTCACATAAGCTTCAAAAAGCTACCTGATACTTAAACAGGATAAGTCTTAGCATTGCCAGGTGGTTTTTGAGGCTTCTTTACTTAAAACATCTATTAAATATAATAGTTGTGTTAACCACCCCACAAACATTGCAATCCAGCAGTTACTGTAGATGTACAGTTTAATGCATAAGTGAAACATAAACCTAGGAGAATAAATAAAATCTGCAAAATAGTTGCTTTCACAAGGTTAACGGCAGAGAAGGCTCAGGCAGTATAACGTTTTCACTGTTCACATTTTGTCTCAACTCTGGCCCTGTGGATTTCTCTCTGACTTGTGGAGGGAGAGAGGAGTCAGGAGGTGGGCTGGTAGCCACAGTACGTGCCTTCAGTTCAATTGCCAGTGCATACAGCACACCACAGAAACAGAGTAGCTGAAAGGGCTTCTTTTAGAAGAAAGGTCAGCCATTCCTCTAGGAGGCCTACACCTCCCTGAACATTTAATAGGAAAACAAATCTTGCATGTTCTACTGTATATCTGTACACAGACCCCACCATGTGTCCATTTGTAAACTAATGTTGGGACTCTGCAAATTCAGGAGATTTGATACTGTTCACACTTCTTCTAAAAAAACATAAGAAACGTATAAAGTTAGAGCAGACCATTTGGTCCTTCTTGCGGATATGCCTTGAATTACCAATAGGAAAGAATAGGAAAGCTGAAAAGCAGCTCCATGATGCTTTTCTTCACATGACATGAGTTCAAGTTTTGTATCTGTTGTGAAGAAAACTCATTAATATTAACTTGCATCATCGTCATTGAATTAGCAGTGTGTAGAAGTGAATAGTGTTACTGTAAAATCTTGAATGAAGCACTTTTGCTGTACCCTGAACCAAGGTACTTCCTGCCCTGCTGTATAACTGGGTACTCTACACATTGTCATTTTAAATAGTAATTTGCTCTTAACTGACTAACCTGATTTTTAGATAAATGAATATTATTAGGCAGTCCCCATACAATTAAAGGAAGGATGAGGACTAAGCACCCTTCTCTAGTTTTCTGGTCATTGCTTGTACTACAAGTCCCAAGATGTCCAAAGAAGATTCAGCATCGAGTGGAGAAAGACGGGTAACTACGTTCACAGGCTCTTTAAAAAAGTTATAGATGTCACAGTTATGCCACAAGCTGTGAATATGACAGTTGATTAAAATACAAGAAAACCCAAGCAGCACTAACCTTACTGTGTGCCAACACCTGGAGGAGTAGCACTCAGAATTAAGCTCATAATATAGCCCAGACTTGAACTGGACACATCTGGACTAAAGGGTACAACCTGCAATCCAAATGACCATTTACGGATTGAGTCACTCCAAGGCCCTGAACTCTGCTTCTCACAGCAATGAGCATAACACTTTAACCTGAGCTAGCATCTGGGCGGCCGAGGGGTGTTTCTTTATTGTTTGTTACTTAAAGCGTAGATTTGTTTAGCAACACAAGTGAAAATTAGCAACAGAAGTTAAAAATAAGGCAGGGTTTTTGCCATGGAAGTCGACTCCTTCAGTTTCCCATGGTCTTTCATTCACTTCAAATGCAACTGTGAAAAGGTCAGCAAGTCTGGAAACACAAACCACGCTCAGACCCAGTCTGTCACCCCAGAGCTACTTCTTTCTCACCACTAGCAGGAAATCAAACGAGAGAGAGGCAGGAATGCTTGTAAAGGATTATCCACTTTATTAACTACATGATTTTTATTTTCCATCACAACCACATATTAAACACAGCGTACACCACAGCTGTTCCAAATTACACTTCACATAAGAGCAGGGAATATATGAACTTATTAAGATACAATAGGTGGAATTAACAAATCAAGCCAATAAAACTAAAGTTTGAATGAAGGCAATTCAATAAGGCAGACTTTAAAACTCAGGTTTGTATTTCTAAAGACAGTGAAGGAGACTAGTGGGGTTTTGAAAGATAGCAGTCTTTAATGTAGATCCATATCTATTTAAAAGTTAATGACATTTGTAGTACAGTACTTTAAACCTTTTCTTCTATTCCCCAAATTCCTATAAGTGGTTTAATAAGCATTCCTAATATCTATACCAATAAGCAGTTTCACAGCTTACAATTTTGAGAAAAATACATGTGTTTTACAGGTCAGACATATTAAATTCTGTTTCCAGTCTACTTTAATTAGTTAATTTTTTATGTAGAAGCAACAGAATTTCATAGACATCAGACAGAAGAGATTTCTGGGTAAAGCATTTATAAACATAAAATAAAATGGCAATTTGACAGAAAAAAACACTAAAATGTAGCAAAAGACTAGTCATTTTTGTCAGTGCACTTCTTTTAAAATCCCAACAACACATTTTAAAGTTAGACATGGCTTATTTGTCTATATGATTAAGCCTATATGGCTTAATTGTAAACACAATTATTATATTACGTGTTTGAGGAAAAACTCCAAAGTAACAAGGCAAAAACAAGTTAATAGTTTATACTACTATTGCATATGTTATTTATATTAAAATCTGTTTAGATTCAATGACTTAAATTTTAGACTCTGAAAACAACCTTATTCTGCAAATATTCTCTGTTTATCTTTTTTACAAACTGCAGTGTCTTGAAACGGTCAGACAATAGGGAGTCCAGGATTTGATTTAGGCAAGTTGCAGCTACATTCAGTGCAAGTACCCTTTCTCATTATCCAAAAGTACTGTGATTTTAACTTAAACGACTTTTACTTTATTATGAGATTGGTAGCGTAGTACATTGTATACTGTATTTGTATATTGGTATATTTTTAAACACTTTTCTAGTGTTAACATTTTTTTTTAAGAAAATTGTACCAGGTTGATCTCAGCTTCTAGTACTATATACCAAATAGTAAAATTTAATATTTTAATCTGACAGGAACCAAAATGGCAAAAATGTCATCAAAGCAGTTTAGTTATTGCCCTCTTGTCACTGTGTCTGAGAGCCTAGTGAGATCATGGACTAAAAAAAGCTCTGTAACTGCTCCATCCAGTGTGACTCTCACTGTTATTTCTGTTTCCAGATCCACAGTCCCATCTCCTACCCATTGCAAACTGGTTTACTGGACTTTTGGATGTGTTTAACTGGAAACGGATAAAAGAGGTAAGAGATTCTAATCTGTTCAACCACTGAGAAATGCGGTTTCTGTATAACATTCATAAAACAAGTCAAAGTCAAAGGTCTCTTTGAAATGATCCTATTCTTTTCCCCACTTCTTTTTACAACTTGGTCTCATGCTCTTCTGAGACTCATTATCATCTTGTGCTTCCCAGAGGAGGCACCTCATGATTGATTACTGTTGTCCTTCTTATTTCGAAAAAAAGGGTTAACTTTCTTAACAAGAAAAATGAACCTCAACCTCAACAAAACACAAGATCAGATGTGGTTGCTTAATGATCTAATTTGCCTTTTAAACATCCCAGTATTCCTCGGCCGCTTCCATAGAAACCAGACTGTAGCACCTTTCACAGATCTTGAACAACCGGATTGATTTTTATGTCACTTGTTTTCCTCTTCAAAGACAACATTTTCCTCCTATAGCCACATCATAGAAAACCCCAAAGAAACCACAGCCACTTCAAATCATCTACAAAAAGTCTGTGCGTCAACAGTTCTAAAAACTAAAAAAAAGGAATACAAAGAACAATAAATTGTTTCATTATGAAAATAAAAAAACAAGTTAAGTGATGCCTGGATTCCTCGTATCACCGTTTATGCTATCATCTGTTTCTGCCTAATTGACCAGAATGCAGGTCATTCTCAACATGTGCAGTTCACAGTTCTGTGCTTCACATCTGGGCAAGGGAACGCCTGCTGTGTGTATTAAAATTCCTAATAGGATAACATGTCAAGAGCTGTGTAGCCCTTCGTTACACAACCCACGGATTACTGACATCTTAAGAAAATAGATGGCTGTATCACATTCTCCCTGCCACCCAGTTCCGAAAGCTGTTTCTGTATAATTGATTTTATTAATATTAGGAATAGTCCAATTCAGCATTGTTTACAAACTACACTGGAACACCTGGTGTCTCTCTCTGGCTCCAACATTCTTTTGTTTCAGTTACATTATTTGGACCTATGCCAGGATGGATTAGTTCCATCGCAGTCAACAGTGTTCCCTGGTACAGACTCCCAGCCCACAACCGTCCTAAACCTCAGAGCTTATGTGCGAGAAACACTTCTTCAGAAGACAGTTGATAGGACATAGGAGAGAGATGGACAAGGCCGCAAGAAGTAGGGTGTCTAGGTACTGTATGAGTTACTTTTTGTTTTAAGAGAATGAGAGGTTTTATCTGAAACATTCAGGAGCTCCATTTTGATTTTGATTTAAAAGTGCTTGAAATTTATATAGACTGTACAAAATGCTAAATATGCTATTTAGCTTTAATATGATGAGTTTTTAAAAGAGGGAGTTTGTTTAATTCAGTATTACAGTTTTTCTTTTTTATCTCTTCCATTAATAAACAGATAATTAAAAGCTGAACAAGCTATGTCTGCCTCCCTTTTCAAGTCTGAAAATTATATTTGTCAGGGATAAAATATTTTACTGTTTGTACATTTGTAACTGCCAGGCTTTAGAATAAAAGATGTTCTCATTAAAATGAGAAGTACAGTATTCTGACAATTCTACTTGTTAAAACAATCATCTGTAGAAGTATTTTAGCGGCGTTCAAAATTAGTTTATTTAACTTGTCAAATCTGTATTGTAACATATGAGTTTGAATTCCTTTACTATTGCAGAAGAGCACAGACGTCACAGAAGTCAGCATTTCTAAGCATTATTCAAAAGCATAGTAAAGTTCCTAAAGGTAGTATTGCTACACCTGTTCTAACACACTTAGTTATTCTGGATTTTTAAACACAATTTGTTTCTAGAATTTCATGATGTACTATGTGTATTGACAAAATGGTAAAATAATGTTCAACTAGGTACGTTTTCATCAAATCATTCTGAGGGTCTACAGAGCAATATTGAATGTAAAGTAAAACAGCATGTCACTTTCCTCTGTGGTATGCACTGTATGCATCTTTATGTAATGCAGATATATATGTTGTTTACAGCATTGTATGATATACACTCAGGTATCTCTAACGTAGCAGTAATTTCAACAAAACTCTAAGTCTAAGTAACGGCAACAGAAACTTACAACCCCTCCTGCCAACCCTAAACATTTGCCTGACCACTAAATGATAAGCAGGTTGAGCACCACTTGCCAAACATAATACAAATATTTTACAAGTATCTTGTAATGTATTAAACTCATTGGATGTAGAATAAAAGACCATTGTATTGTCTTTGTGTTTTTCCCTAATGTAGCATGACACTTCATTTCAATTTTTAGCTAGTATTTTAAAAACAATGCAACACCCTCACAAAACATCCCCACACTTCAGTGTAATGCAAAACATCTACCAATATACAAATCATTCTGTCACGTACCGGAATAAAGTACAGATAATGTCCAAAGAGCATCAGTGCACGCATCAAGTATAAATATGAAATATCTTTAGCAAAAATAAGTAAGAATATTCCACAGTCAGTACATACAGAATATTTAACACAAAATGTAAAACAAAACATTGGTTATGAAACTAGGCAGAAGGAATAAACTCTTCATTCAAAAGCTTAAAAAAAAACAAAAGCTTAAAAAAAAGAATGTTAGCTGTTTTGTTATACTTAGTTGATTGTTTATCTTGAAGGACTGACTATATTAAAAGCTAAATAGTCTTAATTAATAATATCTTTATCAACAGATCATAATTCTTTAGACATTTAACAATATCCATATTGGTGAGAATTTAATTCATATCTACATATTGCATAATATCACAATTAATGGGACCATATTGGATATAACAATATCCATATTGGTTAGAATTTAATTTATATCTACATATTGCATAATATCACAATTAATGGGACAAAATAAAATCTTTCCTTCAGGTGTTCACTCAATAGCCTGTAGTAATTAATCTTCATTTCAATGTAAATGTATGGGTTAGGAATGGATTAGGCTGTTATAGTATATTCAAATCCTTGTATCAAAACACACCTGCATCTGCAAAGAAGTTCGTTTTTCTTTGAATGGATTCAGATATACTTTTTGGAAAATGTTTTCAAATCCCAAAAAAATAAAGTGACGAGACAGAGCAAACAATGGCCAATGTTTAGACTTATAAGGGTTTTCTTCATTTTCTTCCAAAATTTGTTACCGTTGGCCAATACTTGCAAGTGAATCAAAATGTTGGTCACTGTTCTATCAAGCTCTGTAATCTTTTTTCAGAACCAAAATGTTCTGGATCTCTCTAAAGGAAAAAGAAGAGGAGAAAGGTACAGTAGATGCTGTTTGATACCAAGGACTTGATTGATCACTTGGTCAGCCAATAGCATGCTTTTGAATGCATAGTGGAAGCAAAATCCTTGTGTTCATGTTGTGTGCATCAGTTTTATGAAAGACAAAGTGTGTCATCTCTTCTGGTTTCCTACTGAACCTTGTTAATTTGCTTCTTAAAGACCTTAAATCAAACTGATCTGTACGTTTACAATCCCTCCAGTTCTTAATTAATAAAACAAGGTTAGAAATGAGCATGAAACATGTCATAAATGCCAGGTTTCAGCTCTGCTCTTCCTTATGTTTATTCTTTCAAGACATCATTGAATTTTAGGTCCATACTGCACTAAGAAAACATGGCTGTATTTGACAGTGTCAGTCCCACCTGGATTTGCACATCATTAAAAAAAACTCTTATAGCTTGTCAGTACGAAAGCTGTAAGAAAGCATCCAAGATTTAATAAATTTCAGTTCAATATATTACTTGGAAGTCATACAAGTAAAGGAAATTATCTGGGAGAAAAAATCCTGAGTGCAGAGAATGGTTAAAAATCAATCCACTGCGTAATTTCCAGATTAAATCAATTTAACTAATTAGGAGCTCAACTGGAATGAAAACCAGAAAGAACTTTTTAGGACCAAGACTGGGAAACACTGCTGTCAGAGTACAAAATAACAATTTTCAGTATTTTCCAAAGATGATGGAATGAAATTAAAAAATCACATTAGTTACAAACAAAACTCTTAAATTAAAAATTATCTTCAATAAAAAAACAATATTTAAATAAAAAAAATAAGACAAACATACTTCCATAATACCAGATATTAAACCACAATCATAAATAAAAACTATGTTTGAAAACACTTCAAAAGGACCTACTGAGAATGTGCCTGGTTTGTACTGTACTGGCAGTAGTCTTTGGAATGATGATGAAAGCTGTTAGCTCCTCACTGTCAGTTTGATGAATATACTCCTTTTTCATACATCCTTCACTACACAGAGAACGTACTTATTTCCATGCTTTAGTCACAGAAATAAGCAATCCAATGCTTTGAGAGACCCAAATGGAAAGTGTACTAAATTATATTTTAATATTTATGTCCCTCTGGCTATTGTGGTTTGCCCTGACGAAACCTTTTCCACTGGAGTCTTAAGCCCACTTTGAATGATGATATACAGATATCATTTATGCCAGAATTACACCATTGCTTCAGTTGAGTACAACATAAATCTTACTTATTTATTTATTTTTGGGATGGGAATGAGTAAATTAACCAAGAAAATGCGGACTTCAAAATTAATGTGAATTATGTTCTTACCACACTAAGTCCAAAAAGAGAGGTTTTGGTAACACGGAGTTCTCAAAATAAATTTTATCAGTAGAAGTGACACAATACTTACTATGTGCAAATTGTAATAATTGTTAATACAACAGTTTATACAAGGCATGTTTTAATCAATAATCTGCAATTATCTGCACTTGGAATTATGTTTTCTTTTTTATCCCTGCTCATGTGGTTTGGAGTTTTTGTAACTATGAGAACAATGTATTTGTTGGGAAGAGCATTACTTTTTTATGAATTAATGAAATGCAGCTATGTTCAGAAATAGTCATAAACTTCTCACTTATTATATTTGCATTCTAGATTTTCACGGTTAAAGAATGACAATTACACTGTTCAATGCACCGTAGAGCATATATCTTAGTCGTTACCTATGTAATGTTCAAACATAATAAAAATAAACAATAATTTGTTTCATATTAAGACATATACAGCATAAAGTTCTTTTACATTTGGTATATGTAGGATTTCGGATTTGCCGTTAGTTCCGGACCAGAGTGGGTGAGTACAGCGAGAGAGCACCAACACACGCAGACACTGTGACTCCCTGCTTGACGGAGGATGGAAGTGTGATTTAAACACCCACAGAGACCTTCCAGACATTCTGACTCCCAGTGCCCCACCTGTGTGTCCTAGTTGTTTTCCATCTCACATGCAGTACAAGGTTTACATGGAATTCTCCCTCAGCGCCTCTAGTGTTTCTTCTAGGCTTGTGCTGTTAATGACCTGATGGGACAACGGGACAGTGTCGAAGTTATTTCTGGATTTATAATGTTACACCTCATACTTTTGTGTTTTTTTTCTAACTACCATGCATTGGAGAGCCGAATGGTATGGCACTATGTATTTGTACAAGAAGAAACCTCCCCACATTAGTTGCATGTCCCCGCATGTACGTACCTCGTATGACATGTTGGGCATTTCAGATGCCAATTCTACCCACTTCTTGACTTCTGTGCTGTTGCCCAGATCCCTGTAGCACTATGAACAAAAATGTATTAATAGTTTAAATCAAACTTCAGCTTTTGGCATACCTGTACATGTTTGTGATGAGTAACTGTTATTTTCTTTCCTAAAAAGGAATACAGTATGTACAAAAAAGCGGGTGAAGTATCATATTTAGAGATATTAATGTGTAGGGGGGACAAGGAAGCAAAACCTGGAGCCTTATAAACACTGAATTAATGTGGGGAATCTTTGCTTCCCCATATGCTTAAAACCAAGGTCAATAGGAAAATAGAAACCATCGCATATCTTCTTTAAATTTAAGAGTGCTCCATTAACCTTTGTCCTTGTCAAAGAGAATTATGTTTCCCAATGACCACTTTTCAGTTTGTTCCAAAGTAGTCTCCATTACTGCTTCGAGCAGTCAACAAAACAGCCTGCAAAGACGACTTTCGGAGTCCTTAGAAGTGAAGCAGCTGAAATCAGTGCTTCAAGACTCACTGAACCAGCACGGAGACAGTAGGCCTTTCACTACTGGAACACTAGTATCCATTAGGGAGGAAATGTGTTTGTGTTGACTGTCTTCCCAGACCAATGTTTCTGTGGTTAGCCTTAACTCCTGAAAAACACGGCTACAGACAACATAGCTGTGCTGTGTAGGAAAAGCTAAAAAACAGAACAACACTCAGTAAACTGGGTTAAGGGTTACCTATAAACGCACATCAAACCTTTAGGTTTCCGAAATGTATTTTCAAATGTCTTTTTTACCTTTACAGTAAGCTTTTCTAAATCAAATCACATGATCTGATTGAGATTTCAATGGCTGCATAAATAATGCAGCGTTACACTCATACCCCAGTATAAGAATGTTCAGTATTTGAATTTTCGCTAATCCAAACATGAAGAATTTGTACCTTGTAATGCGTTATAAGAACGAAATTTCGCAAATCTGAAATTTGAAGTTCGAAAGTGACTGACTTTGGCCGAGAACCTTCTGTGAACAGCTGTTCGCGGGTGCAAGGCATTATGAGTAAGGACGCCATGAGGCAGCATCGCTTGTTTACGATCACAGCGAAAGCTTGTGCTTTCTTAAAGTGTTTTTCTGTGTTTGTTTGATAGTTGCTATTCATTATGGCTCTAAGGAAGAGTTTGCTTGTTTCACATATTTTATTTAATTCTGACTAGGTTTTTTTAATTTTCTTGTCAATTACTTTAGTGTAATAGTTGACAATAGTATATCCAATTGGGATGCTGCACATTGGTGATATTATTATTATTATTATAATAGACAGTCTTCCTTCTAGGTGTATTAGGGATGAATGATTTGCCTCATCATGGCTAAGCAATCAAGAGTTCACAGGCTCTCTGGTGATGCCTGGTGGAAAGCAGTCATGTAAAGCTCTATATTTCAGATCCCAAAAACTCAGAAGGCCATGCTGATTAGGCACAGCATGCCTGATGAAAACAGAATTTCTCGAAAAGGTGATACCACCAATCATTTGGCTTTGGTTTTCCTCACTCACCTTTCATTAGAACAGCATGTCAAATAATAACAATCAATATAGGATGCTATTCCAATACATGATGTTAATCCAATATAGCATGGCTATAAGGTTGTATACCACTTACAAATCATAAACATAACGACACTGGGAAATATAATTTGTGATTCACAGCACATTTAAAAAGATCTAAAATAAAATTCCCAAATTGTCCTGTGATTCAAAGTACTGAATTGCAACAAAAAATCTCATTACAGCGTATACATTTTTTTTCCTAATATGGATGTGCACAACTGTATGCACGCCTGTAGCATTTTTTTTTTTAGGAACTAGTCTAGGATGCAATTGGGCTGACCACCTGAAGACAGACTGTGCTGTCTGCTTGAGGCCATGAGAACTTCAGTCAGGTTCACTCCAGAGTCGCTTCATCTAAGCCACATCTCTTATCTTTGGCTTTCCTTTTCCCTGCTGCACTTATAAACATTGCAAAGTTTGCTCTCACACAAAAGGCTGTTTCTGATCAGTGCTGCTTTATGTCTGTGTTTCTGTATAGTAAACGTACTTAAATACGTTTATATTCTTGAAAATGTTCTGGACTTTTAGTAAAGATATTTTACAACTGTCATAAATACACAAACTTTCTGTTGAACACTTTTACAAACGCTGAAGTGTGTTGAATTGAGTCCAGTATCTAATTTTATAAACCAGTTGTATACTTGGTTATCCATTGTACTAGTCTCTGGACTCTTACTAACTTGTACAGTATTCATCTTGAAATAAATTTGTTGAAAATTGATTGTCTTTAGGTAAAATGGGTCCGGTCATGTGTTCTGAGACAGTTTTATCATAAAGCAGTTAACAAAAATGACCAGAATAGTATTCTGTTCTCCAAAAAATATTTTCAAAAACCATTCACATACTGTTGGAAAACCCATGAATCTACTCATCCAGTCCCCTTAGAGACATATTAAACTTTTATATTCCTTGAAATGACAGCAGCATCAGACTCTGCCTCAAGACAAACTATCCAAACCAAACTTTCAATTGGCAAAGACTTTAATCAGCCCATATGGAAATGGCTCTGAACAATACAACAATTGCATGTGCTTGTTTTTTTGCAAAACAGGCAGAATGGATTTCTTTCTTCCTTTGTTTATTTTTTTTTAAACAACAAAAGAAAGACAGAGAGAAAAACAGGCCATATTCCCGTGAGAAGTTATGGAATGAGGAAATCGATAGCTATTGAGATATCAAGTCTGCTAGCAACTTATGATTAAAATGAGATACAGATCGTTATCGGTGGGGGGTAGAGGGGGATACAACAACAAAATGATTCAAAATTCACCATTGTGGGCAGGAAGACAGACACTCAAATTACAAAAAGTAACCTCTGATGCCCAAGACTATACAAACATTTGTTTTATGATGGTTGAAATGAAGGATCAAAATAATGTCATCTTCTGTTTCATGTTCCACCTTAGTTCTAAGGCCATGTGCATCCCACACAAGCCGAGCACATAAATGTTTTACAGATGTGCTGTTTACCACTTTTGTGAAAAAGGCTCTCCTAATTCACATCACACCAATGAGATCATGGGAACCAAAGGCACACCCTGATGTATGTTCTGCCCTATTTCATGGGCATTTCACTTGCTGCTCTTCATCACTTCAGCTGGAACAGCTTCAGGCACCAACAAGTTTGCCCAATCAAGTGGACAGCAGCTTCTGTTTGGCTGGCAGATCGTTTCTTTCTAAGGTGACCGATCAAGCCGAAGCAGTGACAAAAAGGTCAGAGGCAGGCCCCGGTCAATGTGAACGGGGATTGATCAAATAAAAAAAAGGAATGACCGATTTTACTGGTATCATGGATTTTCATGCAGGCTTCTGTAAAGGGCCTCATTATAAATTCCGAGAGCTGTTCTCTGAAAAATGTCTTAAGCAACACAAAAACTTATATAGATAAAACCATAAATTTGCCACTAAGCCACACCATTCCTTAGACAAGGTCATTTTAATCCACCAAATAACAGAAGAATAACACTTCCTCTCTGAAAACGATTAATGGCCTTGTCCTTGAGAACACTGAGCTTTCAAAATGAGGAGCCTGTCAGGAAAACCAAGTCAGCCATCCCATTTCAGCTAACCCCAAGACCACTGTACTGTCAGCAGCATCTTTGAACATTTTATTTCAGAAACACTCACACATCCTACTATTTGTGCGATTCTCTGCTGTTTTATTCTGCTTTAAAATGTTTGTTGCTCCTGAGTGGAGCAGCTAAGCAACTTGTCAGAGCCAGATTGAGCCATATTTTCTAGGCATCATGGGTTTGAACTTGGGCCATGTGATTAATTACTTAAGAAGGGTCAAAGCCTGCTGAACATGTCTTCAAAGACCTGTCAATGAGGACTGTTTCAGTTTTTCTGCTGACGCCGGTTCATTTATGAGCACCTTGGGGCTCACAGCTCTAAATAAACAGATGGCTCCAGGATGCAGTGGATTATACGTTGTGTTTATCCCCCTGCCAGTGGTCTGAGGGTGATAGTAATGAGCCAAGAGGGCTGACATTTTGGGATTCCAAGTTGGAGTCTTATAATAATAAAAAATATTGGCGGTTCTGAGGTTTTTAGAAAAAAAAGAGAAAACTTAATTTCTTTATGAGGAAAATCATTCCAAACCAAAAATCAATAACTTAAAGGCCTCAATATGCAAATGAAGGTGTATAAAATGCTAAACATAAAATATGTAGAAGCAGTTTTTAGAAATTGTTTGGGGCACTTGTTTCATAAGAAGTAAGAAACTGCTTTGACACCATAAATAAATAACTCATCCTAACTCAAACTAAAACCAAATAAAATTATAAACATTTGAGTTTATATAAAGGGTTAGGAATAAAGTGAACTTAAGGTCTGCTTCTTAGCCTTTCTATTTTACTGAAGCTACTTTGACTATATTTATTATATTACTATCAGAGACTGTGCTGTGCTTGTGCTAACCAATTCTTCAAGTATTCTGTTAACTAGAGAAGCAAACAACAACAGTAAGACAAGTGAGGTGTAATAGTAGTACACACACTACTAGTGCAAAATACTGAAAAAGTATGAAAAATAAATCCCAAAATAATAATAGGATAATTTTATACATAAGACTAGTGCATAGTCCTATTACGTGTTTTTTGTATAAATGAAAAACCTTTGCCTTTTTTCATATTTTATTTAGTCCAGAGTTTCTATGGCTACACATTTAAGCCAGCCAAGCATTCTCCACATCTGTCCCTTTTAAATTTCCTTTTGGGTAGGTATTGATTAGACAGGAGGGCCTATTAAAAGAAATATTCCATTTACCTTGGCTATATAGACTCTCACAGCCTTGGAGAAACCAGGGCTCAACTCTTCAGCCTAGAACAAATAAAACATTAAATTAATTACTATAAGCATATCAAAAGTATTTACATATAAAAGTATACATTTTAAAGTAATATGTAAAAGATTGCTTATTTTCGTTTTGAACCTACAAGCCTTCATTTCAAATAACAGCAAAATATCCAAAGTAAAAGTAAGCCTACTGCTCATTCATTGTATACAGTATTTTCAATTTTGTTCTGCCAAACAGTTGTGGAAATATAATATAATACTAGCACTAACATTTGAATCAAGAAAGCAAAAACAAGATGCTTCCTTGGACTGCAGCTGTTAAAATTCAAATAGCTATGCTACAACCAACTCAAATACAGTACATTAAGCCAGATAAATTGCAAAACAGTGCAGCACTAAAATATTTGTTAGCAATTCCATCAGCCATATTTTACTTGAGGCATGCATCCTTTTTGATAACTACTGTTCATTTAGCAGATTTGGATTTGATGAGCAAAACATGGTGAATTTTCTTTCTTTCAATGGACAGTCTACTGTAGATCACCTCTGTGAAACCCAGAGGAGTATGCATAACAAAGATCAAGCAGGGACTTGATGCCTTTCAGTTGACAAGAGAAGTTTACTCAGAGCCTCAACGGGTGAAGCAGCAGGTAAATAAAAGGAGGCATAAGAAACATGTTTCCGAGCTCGGTGCTAATCATCTCCAGAGCGAGCAGAGGTAATACCTTGAGAAAGTTCTCCAGGGCCTCTTGTACAGTGGCCACGGGGGGGCTCTCGTACAAGGCAGCAGCAGCCTTCTTCTCCAGCCACCCGAGACTGGACACCTGCAGGAAGCACAAGAAACCACAGCGTTGGACAAGATGGAACAGGCCCGTTTTCACTTTCGCTTGCTCTTCAGTTTTAGCAGAAATGTCCTGCCACGTTTTTCTTCAACGTCTTCTGTAAAGCAAACTGTGACTTGTCCAGAGTTCTGCTCATGGGCTCCTACCGTCAGCTAGAGACATCAGTACTATTGATGGCAGCGAGGAAATTAAAAAAAGATATCCATGGAACCCACTGCCCAGATCCAATAGAGTGATTGTATAATTTAGTTTAACTCCTGATTTTACAGGTTAATCTTTTGTGTTCTTTTTGGCTCTTTGTACGTGTGTTATGTGCACAATATTGTTTCAGTTTTGCATAAAGCACTTAGAAATAAAATGCTTTGTTTCATATGAAAGCCATGTTTTTCTCATGTTCTGCTGATAATGATAACTTCTAGTTGCTGAGTTCATTTACTGAAAGCACCATCTGGTCATCAATAGAGGAGTGTAGAAATTAATATTTCTAAAAGATATTAAAAAAACAATTTTAATGACTTTATGTAGTAATTTTATCTAAAGCAATACAATCACAGTCATTGTGCTAAAACTGAATCTCACTGCATAATTTAATTTTATTTTTACTAAACCTTCAAGAAAATGGATAGTTTGGAAAGAATCCTGTAATGTGCATTTTGTCACAAATTCAATTTCACATGGCAAAGACAAGGTGGGGGAAGAGTTAGTCCTTAAAAGTCATTTTCAACAAAATTAGTGCTGTCGTGAATTCCATAATGAAAGGCCAACTCTTTTTTACTTTTATCATCTTTCATGGGATGGGACACAGCTTTTTATATGGTATTATGCCACAAAAGGATGGTTACCACAGGCAAACACTGACTTGCTACATTATCTCAGTGGGAGTAGGCCAAATATGGGTATGACATAAAAAAGACACAATATTGCATAATCATAAAATGGTTATACACAGAAGCCATTATTCTATCATTATTTAGCTGATGTGATCCAGGCCATACAAATTAGTTCTGTGCATACATAAAACTGGAAGGAATCAATGACAAGAACAATCCAAATAAAAAAAGTCTCTGTGAGCACAAACGGTTTATCGCAAAATGTAATGGTCTAGCTTTGTGTACTGCAAAGATGCCCCCCCCCTCCGAAAAAAAAAAAAAAACTTCCAAGATAACAGTGGCAGAGTGGTAAAGGCAGCATTTTGACTGTTTTCTCTGAATGTCTGCCCCAGACATGATAAAAACTACTGTGGCCATTAATGTTACTTTGATACTTACACAATGAGAATATCTATTTAATGCCAGTCTTTCCACATTTTTGAAAAGATTAACAGATATAAGCAAGCTGCTTCCAACAATGCTATTGCAATAACTGTCATTTAAATCTCTATATGAAGTTATCCTCATTATTGCTTCTGAGATAAACCCAAACCATGACATTCCCAGAACAGGGTGATCCTGAAAATTATTTATCTGCAGCTTTAAATTAGCCATATTTTATCATGATGTACTAGAAAATACAATCAGCCTGAGTCCACAAAAGACAAATACTCTTACTGGAGCCACGGTTTATCACAGTACATCTAGAGGATAATTTTCACTTGCCTGTTAAAATACATGTGATTTGGCAGATTTAGGATCCTTACTTGACTATAAATGTTTATTGAAGTCATATAAAAACAAGCGCTTCACCATATTCTCATGTACTCCCTCTATACACATGCAATGTTTCAGTATTTGTTTTTACTTGGCTTAAGCAATGTCTACAAATTCTCCAACATTCTTTCTGAAAGTTTCTACTCTGCTGAATGTTAAAGCACAAGACATATGAATGTTCATGCAAATTTTCATTTCTATGTCATAATTGTAGAGTATACTGGTGCATGCCGTCATTTTTCATGAAACGTATGGATTGTATCACTAAACACATAGTCTGTTTAATAACTTCAAAAAAAGGAGAAAAACAACTTCAAAACCCTTTTGGCTCAAAAACCTAAAAACGTATTAGGATGTCATTACAAACATTATCCAGCTGGGAATCAACCACAGACAAGTTTTCACTTCTTGAGTGAACTGTCACCACAATCTGCTATCATTAACCATATTGTACTACATTTTATGCCAAACAGGTATTACGTTTAGCTATTTCAAACAAATGTAACATAAAGGAAGCACAAGTAACATACAATAACATATACTGTATATGTATATATCAACATGTGCAGTCGCCTACACATTTAGACCACAGAGAATTCAATTAAAAAGCTGAAACGCTGAAAAGCTGCTGCCTGGCTATATGCTGATTGCATTTCAGTAGCACTGAGAGAACAGTGTGAGTACTGGGCACTGTGGTAGGGATAGCGTGTGAAATCAAAGCCCTCCAATGGTCAAATTGCAGTGAAATTGATTCCAACTGTCACGCGTAGGTGGGGGGTGAGGGGTAGAAAGTTAAGAGGGGCCTTCCTATCTTCAGAATGGAGCAACAATACCACCCCACCTCCTCCTGCCTTTTGTGGTCAGAGGAACATTCAGCCCTACCTGATGAGGAAAAAAGTCAGCATTTTGGTGTAAGATAATAGTTCATCATTAGGCCTTTCCTTCCCAAACAGATTTGAGGAATGTGCATGTAAAGTTGATTCAGACTGCAATCACTTTGTTCTTCAAGATCAGACATGTGTAAGAAGTTGCCTACAATACAGATAATTAGGGTATTTTTGAAGAATGTCACATGGAGAGATCGGCTTTTGGTTACCAAGGAGACAAGTGAGAAACCTGCTATACTCCCGAATATGTCCCTCAAAAGAAAAAAATAAAATAAAAGTAGAGGATCCACTATTAAAAGAAATTTGTACATCATTCTTTTGTATTTTTTAAGTAGTTCATAGGCTATCCCAAATTAATAAGCAATTGATTCTTAAATGATCAAGCAATAATACGATGAGTGGAATGTAAAGCAAAGACAGCTTGATTCTTCAGTCTGTATTCTTCAGTATTTATTTTTACCAAGAATATTCAAGAGAAAATTACCAAATACACTACTGTCTGACTACTGTTAAAAATGTTTACATTTACCAACTCAGACAGAGGCATGAAAGACTACGGTTGTTCTTTAGTACAAATAATAAATAAAATAATATACCTTTGTACAGAACAGATTTATTTTTCTGATTTTTTTAATCTTTCACTCAACCATTTAAGAGTTCATGTCAGTGTTTCACAGAAACTGGAAGAACTGAATTATTCCTTCAGCTGTTGATTCATGCAAAGGTGGATGGAAATCTGCTTATAATAACCATCTTGCAGAGCTGTAAGAATGATCCTGATTGTCTGAACCTGGCAATGTGCAGTGTGGTTAAAGTAAAAAAAATACTTCACTGGAATATTTATTTCCTGACTCGCTATTCCAGTTATATAAATTAAAACTGCAATAAATCAATTAAACAAAATATGCCAAACTATTATTGCACTTAATGAGAGGTACAATAAGTACTAAGTACAGTACAGGACAGATCTAAGTTACAATATTAAAAAGGCCAAATGTCATGTGACAAGACTTATTTATTTCTTATTTCAAATACAGTGCCTTCCTAAATTATTCAGATTCTTGCACAATTTTCACATTCTGTTGTGTTAAACCTTGAAGTAGCAATTAAAATTTCTTATATACACAACCTACTTCACATATTCAAAGCAAAAAATAAAAAGAAAGGAGAAAGCAGACAATATGAAAGCAGAATGGAAAAGTCATGATGTCTTAAGTATTCAAGCCCTTTGCTGTGGCAAAACTAAATTGATTTAGATGCACAAAATTACTGTAATGGCTCACATCATTAGGTGAATAGCCCTTGTCTTTGTGCCCTAAAAGGAGTTTTCATGATTTCTGAATATATACTCCTGTTTCTGTTAGGTTCCTGAGTCAGGCAGATTTCAAGCATAGATTCAGACATAGAAATGTTGTAGCACCCAGATGCTGTCTAGATCTGGCTGTCCCTTCAAACTGAGCAACTGGGCAAGGAAGAAACTGGTGTGGGAAGCTGCTGTGAGGCCAAAGACAACAATTTTGAAAGAGCTTCAGAGTTTAACGACTGAGATGGGAGAAAAAGAGTATCCTTGTCACCCCACAAATCTGGCCTATATGGCAGAAAGGCAACCTCATCTCAAACCCCATATGCCATTTGTGACAGAGCACAGGTAAGTAATATTGCAAACATGGCAAAGGGTTTGTGGTCGGATGAGGCTGACATTTTGGTACAATCTGGCGCAAAAAGCAGCAGAGTCCATCTCTCACTCACTCACCCCTAAAGTCAAGCATGGTGGCAGCATCATCACCTCAGCAGGGACTGGAAATTTAGGTAGGACTGAAGGAAAAATTAACAGATCAAAGTAGAGGAAAACCCATTTCAGTCTGCTAAAGACTTAAAACTGGGGCAAAAATTCTCCTTCCACAGGACAAACATCAAAGGCCCAAGGTGGAAACTACACTGAAGTGTCTTAAGAAGAAGACAGTGAATGTCCTTGAGTGGCTGACTTGTTGTGACTTGGATTCCATCTAGACTATGTGGAAAGACTTGAAAACTGCTGCTCATAATTGAATGCCAAGCACCTTGAGAGAGTGTGAGGAAATCTGTGCAGAAGAGTGAGTAAAACGTTAGCAGAGACTCACTCAAAAAGACCTGTGGCTGGGAAAGACGCTTCTTCCGAATACAGAGTTCGCAGTTCTGAAAACTTACACAATCACCACACAGTAGTTCAATTTTTCTCTTTAGGTTTTGTTGACATTGTCTGTGTCAGCCTTAGAAGTCTTTAGATTGAACATTCAGGTTTTGAATAAAATGTTAAGTTGATGAAAATATGTATGCATTATTTTGCAATTTCACAGAATGGGATACCACAGGAGGGTCTAAATACTTTCGCATGGTGCTATACCTGCATACAAATTATGAAGGATATTAATACAGTAAGAATGAAAAAAAACAGAAACAAGATTAAACAAGTCATAAGCATGCAAAGAAAAAAGCAAAATGTGAGGCCGAAATTATCAATATTTAAGGTCACTGCCATAATTCCATGTAGCCCATTGAAAGTAAATGCAAACTAACTAAATTACTGTTGTCGCTGTTATTTTCTTCTACATACCTCACTCTTTAACAAACAAATATGTGAAGCAACATAGTAGCCCATACTACTGCTTCGTTGTGTTTTATTGTTTTGTGCTTAAACAACCAGATACAACAAGGCTGAAGTCTTAAAACAAGATCAATTAAGGGGAGCAGAAAAAAAAAATGTTTTCTTCTTGGATTTTTTTCAATGCTGCTCCAAAAGAACTGTAAATGCTTATCTAGATCAGATTAAACTTTCAACAAGTTTATTGATTTGGCAAGGGCTGCAAAAATGTTCTGTGCATACGCTATTTCTTAAAAATTCATTTTGCTTGATTAAGCTATAAGCGAATTTTCATCTGCAGTCTCTGGGCAGGTACTAAATGTGCTGTAGTCAGCCTGTATTTGCATCTCTGAAAGGAGTCAAACCTGTAACTTAGTGCATACTCTTGAAAAACACACAAAACATTGTCTACTTTGTCTACAAGTAAAGTAATTACTAGACACAGATGACAGGGAATGATGTCTTTGGGCCTAAATCCATAATGCTTGTTAAAGGTACTATGCTCATTTGTAACACACAATCACATCATTGTAATGCCCAAAATATATGTTGCATGCATTAAGAATCCCACATTAAAAAGACATTTCCTTATATCTTATAAACTATGCACTGGCAGCTGCAATTTACTGATCTGTTTCATCTTATTATGTCTTCATTAGTCTAAAAAATGTGCAACTGGTTTTAATTTATATTTCTTCTTCAAATTCTGTGATGTTTGAGTAATGACATGAACTTTAAAAATAGAGATCACTGATTAATAATTATTGGTCTTCGTTTATCGTTTGAAAGAAAATTAAATTTAAAAGCTCTGCACAATAGTTCACAAAAGAGTTTTGTATAGAACCTAAGAGTTACACAATGTGGAAATTAAAGTCAAGGCAATGAAAACAGATTAAACTCTTTCCAATTTATACCCTCTTTACTTTAGACCAAAAGGATACTTTATAGTGATGAGAGTGATAAGTCTCTGACACTCTGGTAATTGCACTGGCACTGGTAATTCATTTTTTAAGTAATTAAATCAAATTTTCATTAAATCACTTGACTTTTGGTACACTTTTGCATTATCAAGACTGTTGTATTGCTTGTTTCTTGGGTTACACAATTGCCTCTTCCCACTACAATGAACTGGTATGTTAGTAGCCTGTGAAATGTATTAATATAAGCATGTTTCCTGAGAGGCTCGCATGCTGTTCGTGTAATAAAACAATTGTGTAAATCCCAGGCTGCCTCTCAGCACTGAGGCCAAGGAAGACCACATAGGCTGACCCGGAGGGGCAGATTGCAAAGAAAAACAGGAGGGGATAAAAACAGCTTAAGAGAATGTTTGTGTTAACAATGAGCTCCGGAATAGTTGTTTACACAGTCTTTTAGTATTAAAGGTATTTTCCTGCAGTTCCTTTTTGTATTTTCAGAACTAAACTGCCTGCACACAAGGTATTACCAATAATTTTTTTTTTTATTCCACAAAAATATCCTAATATGGGAAATACAATCCCATTTTTTTTAACAATGGGGTATACAATTGATAAGAAGCGCATGAAGGTCCTCCAAATTCTGCTGAACCTGGATCAATCCCCACCTTATTTTTAATGAAATATTTAAATGAGTCTGGCAGTTCTTATCCAGAACCTTTCATGGTTCAGGTCAGCCAATGACCTGATAAAATTTGCAGAGGTTCCTGTTGACAATCTGGATAGATCTAGTATTGTAAGTGCTGCGATGATATTACCCTACAACAGTCTGACAAAAAAAAGTCTCATTACATTACATTACATTGCATTACATCCAAACGGGATATAACCCTAAAACTGAAGTGAAGATAAAATGATTTGAAGGTCCTTTGTACTGGACCTCAACTTGATTGCATAGACATAATTTGAATAGACCTGTAGAATACTGAAAATGTACAATAAGTCAGAGGTACACTAGTTCATGCTTTATGGATCTGTCCTATAATTCAGGAATTGTGGTCAGAAATCTCTAAGACCTCACACAACAGTCTAAAAGTTAACCTTCAGTTTTGTCCTTATTTGTACACTGAGCATTGAAATAAACTACTGTACTTATGCATGCATATTTTTATAAAATTAAATCATTTTGATTTTGGACAGTAATTAAATGTTTCTGGCATCATTTTGATTAAATGGTTGTTTATGACTGATTGTAAATGAGTCACTGAAGTGATTGTGATGGTTCCATAAGCACTAAATCCCTTAATTACTGAGAGAATTAATTGGGCACAGGTGCTGAAATGTTTTGACCCTTTTCATGTTAAGCCCAGAGAAAATCTAAAAGAAAAATCAAGGAAAAATCAACATCCCCTGCTTGTCAAGAAAATGTACAACAATATCCAAGCCCAGGACACCCTCATTACCTCCTTGTGTAGACTGCTTGTGTAACAGTGGCTATCATGAGGGACAAGATATGATAATTATGACATGGATGCTCTTCTTGCCTTAATTGAGTGTTTGTGGGACTTTTGGGATGAGCTAGCTGGAACACACACAACTCTGAGCCCTAGATGACTGAACAGACACATGATAATCCAAGCTCGATGAGAGCAATGGGAACAAGACAGCACCTGTAACCTGTTGTTGGTACACACACTAACCCGTGATGTTCACATTAGAGCACCCATTGAATAAAGTACAATAAAATGTCAGTGCAACATTGTGAATTTGTTTAAGTTATAAGTGATACGTTTCTCAAGATTCTCAGCACATATTATGGAGGATCCTCAAAATGTATTGGTTCTAGACCAGCCATTATGCTTGGGAGAAACCTGATGTGAGTTTCACACAACCAGGACAAACAGCTATTAAAATTTCACACTCTGTATGAAGATCAAGTGGCACCTAATATCAAATAATAATTAATATCAAAATGATATTAAAAAATGAAACATAGCATAAAAGGTGAAGAGTAACTGGAGAACTGAAATAAATATGCTGCCCCACACATTTTTACCTTTTTTAACTTCTATTTACCTTTTCTGTTATTTCCATTTTATATTCAATGTGTACTTAACATTAATGTTGTGCATAATGAAAATCCATAAAACCTTCATCACAAAAAATAAAAAGGTAATATGACTGCAGAATGTCTTATTTATATAAGTCTTATAATGAACGTCTCATTAGTTAAATCTCTGAGGTGATCTGAAGAAGTAAGCCTACACATGCTTTTCATAAGTGCTTAGTTCCATGTCACTTAAAGTACTTTGATACCTCTGATGACCTGTATTTACTGTTTTCTGCTGGTCCATAATTGCTCCCATGTTAAAACAACAAAGAGAGACCTACCTCACACTCCAGTGCATGTCACTGTTCAACTTCCATATATACAGCAAAGCAAATACTTTATCTTATGTGGTTAGCTACTAAACTTTATTTGTTTTCATACGGTATTGTCAAATTATTATGCAGTGTTTAAATTAGAGACTGACCTAAACAGGAGAATAAACAAAGGCATAGACTTCAAGCCTGGTGTTCTTGGAGTCTGTCAGAAATGCATGGAAAAACCTACAAACTTTGTTAAAGCGTCTCTGCAACACTGCCACCAAGCCAAGTCTGTCTTGTGTTCCTGTTGTGGAACTGATTAAAGGCCAAATGTTCACTCTCAACCTCAAATTATTCTGAAAAATGGACCAGATATAGTTGAACTCTGCTGTGTAAATGCTTAATGGTTGAAAGCTACAATGTAGTAATTGTATATCTTCTGTTAACCACTTCATCTCATCTATACAGTACCTCAATCACTAAATCAGGAAATCAAGAGAATACTGAAAGGACCTACTATACAGCTGGTATTAAATAGCTTTGGAACTCGGGAGCAATAAAGTTATCATACATTTCAGGAAGCATGGTTTGACAAATATATCTTGATAGCACCATAAGTTCTCAATCACATAAATACACTTTGTATAATTTTAGTAATATTAAGAGCATGACTTAAGCATAAGAATTTATAGAGATGATCATAGGGTGTATATAAAATTGTACTAGAGATAACCAGGGATTATATAAAGTTTAAGATAAAAAGTTCAATTTGTTTTCTGGGGGATCCAGAGTATCTCAACCTCTCAATATAGTCATTTTGAGTGCATCTTAGAAGCTGCTGACTCACACCTGGGTGACATCAGTGCCAGTTATAACTAAGATGGCCCAATCGGCAGCACAGCACTGTGTTCTGGTAGGACCACAGAATTGTTTCAAACTGAGAATAGGAGGCACTCCTTTACGCAAAGGGCTGTGGGAGTCTGGAAGCAGCTGCCTAACTATTTTGATTATGCTGGTAACCTGGCTTTCTCCCAGGAAATGGCTGGATGAGATCTTTGGATCAGTAGACTACGAAAAAAAATAGTAAGATAGACGGGACAAATTGTATCCCCTAGTTTATAACCTTTTTTAAGTTCTTGATTGGCAGACCACAACTGTAGCACATTCCTGGGACCCTTGAAACACCTGTGATTTGCACCTCTGACATCAGGGAGAGACGCGACAATCCAATCCTCAAATCAGTGCTAACTTGCCTACTAAGATCCTGTGGAGCTGCAGTAGGTCAAAAGTGAAATTATTCTGACAGGTGAGCATGTCTAAAAGTGTTCAATCTTCCCACCCAGGTTAGAAGTCATAGATATTAAAGGACAGCTTTTAAGCAATTTCAGACTGAATGTTTCTAACAACAAGTGTTTTTTTTTAATATATAAGACTTGGTCACAGTCTTAGACAGAACAAGTACCCTGGATATTAGAATAGGTTCAGAATTGTTTAAAATGATTATATGCAGCAGT